CTGGTCATGGATGAGAAAGCTGGGTAAGACTTTCCCCTAAAACACACCACATTTCCAAGGCTACCTGCTTTAAATGTGACTAAACATGAATGTTTACTACTATAATCTACGGAATCAATACACAAACCTGAACTGAGAAATTTCATCCCCAGTTAAACCCTCTGTCCTGTTTTTGCAGGACAAACTGCACAGATGAATCCTTAAATAACTTACAGAAGCAGCTCGATGAGGGAATCAAATACAATTGCAAGGAAGTGCCTCAGTGAGTCCGGTTTGTGTAAATGGATCTGGTACCCTGGGTGTTTCTGTGATCTCACATCAGATGGGCTTTTTGTCACAGATCTCAGATCGAGGAATGCAGCTCCCGCCCAGAGAAAACATGTGGATCCTGCTGGTGAAATAACTCCCTGTGGACTGACCAGCCTCGTGTTTCATCCTGTCAAGATTTTAAATAGATTTTTTTAATCTCACAGTTTCACTTCATAATAATTTTGCTGATGCATTCTTTTACAATATGAACGTTTGTCAGATATGTGCTTCTTTGTAAAAAAATAAAATAAAGAAATAATGTAAATACCTCTTTGGATAACGTCTGTCAGGTGACATTGTGGAAGACACTGACTTGCGTAAATCACTGTATCACACGTTTAGCCGTTTGCTCATTTCCTCTCTTTCCTTGAGCTCATTCTGCACAGACAACACATGTGAGATCTTTTATCAGATTGTTCTTCCTCCTTGTACTAGTTGTGGTATTTAAGGTCCTCTGTGGGACAACTGGAACAGTATTTACGCTCAGTTTGGAGGCTAAGAGCCATGGGAGGAGACAAATGTTCCTGTAAAAGTCGTTTTTTAATGTGAGGGTAAAAATCAATGAACCTGGCAGGAAAAGCCCATATGGAGACCTTAGGCATGCGTTGAGTTTAATTATTGATACAAATGTTGATCCACTTGATAATCTATGACTTCTTAATTTATGAAAAGTTGTAAATATGGTCTCAAATTAACCTGATAGATTATGCAAAAATAAGAAATGGAAAAACCCTATTGGCTAACAGGCAGATATATAACTGAGTAGCTATTAATGTTACATGACTCACAGCACAGGGCTAACAAACACTAATAAACACTACCTTTGAACTGAGGGAATATCCCTGACAACACTCCTGCATATTGTGGCTCTCAGTAACAGCTCAGCAAGATTACACCTCCTTCAAGATTTCTTTTTCTTTTTGGAGTTGAATCTTTCAAATGGGGGCTAAAACATACCTGGCAATCTCTGGTGCCGTCATTGTCTTTCTTACTATCATTGTGGTTCCACCTGCTGTGCTCCTGTCTCCAAGATCTGCCCACTTTAGGGCGACTTTCAGGACTAAATGCCTGGCCTTCCCACAGACAAGCCAAAGGTAAAGAAATCTCCACTCCAACAAACGGCCGAACGCCCTGGAGTAAGGGAAGTCCACCTTGTTTTGCAGATGCGAACAAATATTGGGCAGATTTGAGGAAGCATATGTGGGCCAGAACTCGTGTGACTTCCCAGAGAAAAGATACGATCAACTCTTCATTGAAAACCAATTCACACATTCATGCAACAAAGTAACATCTACGTGGAAGTTTCCATCAAGTAAATTTCAAAGATTTAAAACTGTCTTAAAAGCACAATGCACAAGTTGTGAAATGAATTTGTTGTCCCGACATTAGACGATGTTCTGGAGTGACACAAATGATCTGGTTCACAAGTTCACTGAGAGGAGGGATCACTTCATCACCCTGGAGGACACACTGTTGGGCTTCATCATGGATGGTCTGACGTGGTGTGGAAAGAAGGGCAGCAAAGGTGAGAACGCGTGTTGTAGTGGATGTTTTGAAACCCGCATACTATATATAGAACCTCTGTGGTCGTATCTGGTTTTTGTTCCAGAAACCTTCATCTATCAGTGCGAAAAGTGCCCAGTCAACACCGTGAGTTCATTTTGGATCAAAGCCTCGGCCGAAGTACGTGTGGGGGGAAATTTTACAAGACTTTATTGCACCATTAATTTATCATCTTAATCAGATAAGATTGGTTGGATTGGTTGAGCAAATGGGAAAGTGTTCTAACACACGTAGTCGTGCAATGTTGCCACTAGATGTCACCAGTGACTCTTTCAAGTGCAATGACTTAAACGATAACTTTTCCAAATGGGTAAGCTTCAGTCTAATATGAAAAATACATAAGATATTTTACATGGCTATCCCAGTTCCTTTGTTTGGAGCGGGCCTCATGGCTTAAAATGTTAAATAGCTTTCGACAAATTAAGGCTGTTGTTTGGTTACCATTAAAGCTTGATGACTGAGGCCTTTATGATACTTTTTTAACTTTGATTGATCCAAATTCATACTGTTAACGACAACATGTGGGAAGCAAAATGCCTTATATTTTTAAAACACAACAATCTAATGGAAATGCTGACTGTAGTTTGCAGATTATGCCTGTGGAGATGCGACAGTGATGCTAAATGGACAGATACACAAACCATTTGATCCCACAAGGTGAGCGGCACTTTTACTAACTAGATTAAATTCAGCAAGATCATCATAGGTACAGAGGGCTATTGGTTGAGTTTGGCAAGTGGTACATGCTCAAATTTTACAAATAGGAGACCTAATATAAGATAAATTCCCAAGTTAGCTCCTCCCATTGGAGAAATCTGTTCATATAAAAGAAGGAGGGATTATTCTTCCGGTAGTTTGACTTGGAAGTAGTCTGTATTTGTTAAACACCCAGATTTGCAATGTTTCCATGTAACTTTTCTTTTTTTTACAGTTATTTTGGGGCCATTGAGGTTAAGGGACTCAGGTATCCCAGGGTGAGAAGCCTAACCGTCATTCTGGTCACAAAGAATGATAAGTAAGAATCTACAGTGTGTAACTATTTTTGTCTTTTCTCTACAAGCGTGAGACTTGCATGTTCAACGTTACCAAAAAGTCCCTCAGCGTTTGAAACTGATGCTTCATTGCCAGCATCTTAAAACTAAAACATTTCAAGTCTTTGACGAGTAATCGTCCCAAACAGGAAGTGACCTTAGAAGTCACAGTAGTCATCGCATTCTCACGTAATCATCTTGTGTTAGTGTAAACTGCTACCTTGAATGTTGAAAGGAGCTACCAAAGGGGCATCCATGATGTTAAAAAAAGCCTTTACTCCACACCTCTTATGATAGCCAAATCCAGCACTGAGATGGTGTCTTTAAATTGTGATGTATACAACTGTGGTCATGAAATCAAGATTTAATGAGAGCAGGGAGATGGTCTATTTTTTATTTTTTTGCTGTACTACCATAATCTAGATTAAGGAAATTTTCAGTTAAAATGTAATTCATCATCTGGACCTTAATGAGATCTGGTCAAGAGAGACGCTATTTGCTCAAAATGGTGGAGCTGGGGAGGGATAGTGGAGAAAAATGTTTAGTAGTTTCTTTAATTTGATCAGCACAGTGATCAGAAGTAATTTAAGTCTTAGTTTATAAGAAATATCGTTTTACTTATTTGTATTTCACGAGACAAGAAAACCTCTCAACATCCTTTGCATAAACTCTGTGTTAAATGACAACACCACAGCGAGCGCAAGAGAAGTTTTGAAACCTTCTGACTAAATCTACAGCAAAAAAAACAGCCTGTAACGGTAACAAGAGCTGGGATGCTGATGGTTATTCATTTGGATTCCATCCCCGCACCATCTCTTTTTATTTGCAGTTTACTTAACATTTCGTGGGTATTTGATGGCAATTTTTAGTTCTCTTCTATTACAAAAAAATCCATGTGAATGGCTGTGGATGGGCAGGATTCAAGAATTAATCCTAAGTTTAGTGGGAAACAAAGAGCAAAAAAAACAAACTGTAAAATATGACAGAAAAGTACAACATGACAGAAAAGTAAATAGTAGCCACTTTGGTTGTACAGACATATAATACATTACATTTAACCTATTAACAATAACACACTTTTGAGTCCCCTTTTTATTTCCTCTGTTCAGTGTCGATTGCAGCCAAGAGTCTCTGCAAGTCTTACAAAATATGCTGGATCCCAACATTGTTTACCGCTGCTTGGCAGCCACTGAGTAAGTACAGCATGAGTATGAGCAAAGGGGCTGTTAAAGCTTACACATTTATTTATATGACATGTGCCATCACACAAGATTTTAACTTCCTCTTTTTCTGCCTTTGTACTGCAGAGCTCACATCCAAGACTGCTTAAAAAATGGTGTAACCAATGAGGCCTGTTGGAGCTGGATGTAACATAATGCCGGGGAACATGAGCATCTGTTTGAAAATCAACAGCTTTGAGTACATTAAAGGAGACTAGTAACTTTTTTTAAATTTAGTACTCAGTCATTGTGTCTTTGGCTTCCTTTGAGTTTTTATTTAATTTACAATAAAGACTTCTTCTTAGTTTCAAGATGGCCGGCACGGTAGTGTGGTGGTTAGCACCATCGCCTCACAGCAAGAGGGTTCTGGGTTCAAGTTCCCGGGGGGAACCAGGACCTTTGGAGTTTGCATGTTCTCCCTGTGTCTGTGTGGGTTCTCTCTGGGTTCTCCGGCTTCCCCCCACCGTCCAAAAACCTGCATGTAAGGTTGACTGGACATTCCAAATTGCTCTTGGGAGTGAGTGTGACTGTCTGTGGTTGTTTGTCCTTGCGTGTCTCTGTGTGGCCTTGTGATAGACTGGCAGACCGTGCAGGGAGACCCCGCCTCTCGCCCATTGACTAATTGGGTAGGCTTCAGTGCCCCCGCATTGGAAAATGGATGGATGAATGGTTTCAAGCTTTTTACACCGGAAGGTTAAAAAACTGTTGGAATACAGTTTAAATGAAGCGTTTCCATGCTCGTTAAGAAGCACTAAGACAACCCAAAGAGTAATCTGATGTTGTAATAAAGATTAAACATTGATCTTGAAGCTTTCTATTCACTCCTTCGCTCTGTTTTTTGGTTTCTTTTTTGCTTCTCGCGAAACTGCAACTCAACATCAAAGCCTCTAAACTGCGACGTATGCAAAGTCACGAACCTGCAAAACCACCGAATAAAAAAGAAAGTGTTTTCTAACAAAGGAGGCAAAAAAAGACGTGGGGTTTTAAATCTGTAGGTGTCGGCCACAAAGAGTCTTATGCCTCGTACGTGTGAGCCAAAGGTGTGTGGGCCACACCGCAAGCAGGATTGTGGAGGGTGTCACACATGTGTGAGTCCTTTACGATGGCGCTGCTGTGGCAGGAAGAAGGAGGCTCCTCTTTCCTTTCTGGTGACTTGCTGCTGTGTCATATGTACCGTAAACGGGCCGAGTCGCTGCTGGGAAGAGATGCACGGGGTTCTCACTGCACAGGTGCCGCGCGAAGGCCCCCTCGGTAAAACCACCACATGGGGTACTGTGACAAGTGCTGTAATGTCGGTAAACACCATCTCCGTTTGAGTCAACGCCGCTGCCCCTCGCACTCAGAACATTCTTCAGCTGCTTTTAGGAAAATGACAAAGTGCTGATGTGGCGATACTCACATCTGTGAGGTAATGTTTGACATTTATAGCAATTTGTTTTAGTGACGGACTTTAAATCGGGCTAATGTCCCTGTCTCTCCTTAACATAAAAGTGCTTGGTATTTTTATGTGGAGTGTATATATGTATTAGGACTTGTCCTAGATAAAAAAAAACATGGATAAATCTACATATAAAACAAGTTATTTGTTACTCATGAAACCAATTTGGTGTAGATGCAATGAATGGATTTCCTCAAATGATCAGCCCTTATAAGGCCTATTCCTGACTTATTCAAAGAAATCTTGCAACACTTGTGGAAACTGCATTTACTGTAATTTTGTTCTCACGGTATACAAAGAATAACTTCCCCCCCAACTAAAGAAGATGCATATGAGCCCAGAATTTATTTATCCAAAATGTCCACAGTATGTGGGTGGGGCATCTTCACTGTCAGTGGGTTTTGTCACACAGGAAAGCAAGAAAAAAGGAACAGCTTGTGGTAGATTGGAGAATATTTTTCTGGTACATCTACATGAATTTTTATTATAGCTATCCGATCCATGAACTTTAGACAATAACAATTACAATATTTCATTAAGACATTAAATTGTTACTTAGTCTTTTTCTAGACACTTTTGGTTATGAACAGTTATGCTGCTTGTTTCATGCTATAACCACATTAAACATGTTCCACAAAGCCTCCAAACCAAGATATTTTATGCAGCCAATGTTGGCCTAAACAATCGAGAAAAAATGGCTTTGTGATGCAAAAATATCAAAATTAGCATTACAGAGTTGTAACACAGGCAGAGTTATAGAGAGCCACTTTCCCTTTATTTTCAACAGGTTCTTTTTGCTGAACACTTTTTCAGTCATTTATGTTTGCGTTCCTTCTGACTTGTTGAGTTTATCCATTCATAAATAAGTGTTTAGGATTTGGCAGCGACAACTCATTGCTTCTGAAAAAGACAGAAAATTCTAAACAAACAGACATGAAATGTACTCTTTTTCATGATGCCATGTCATATATTTCAGGTAGTTTTTTTTTGGGTCTAAACCATATTTGACTCTTAAGCAGATGGGGCAGAACGTGTGTCCTGGTGGACAATGTAGTGATACATTGCAACACTAACTAAAGCCGTTATACCGCCAGACCCACAATGTGGCATCCAAACTTGGGCTTTTTCTCTGTTGAAACCAGGAAACACTTGTCATGACATGGTCATTTCAATGGTATGGGATTGCTCTCCTTTATGTAACTCTGTTCATATGCAATAGTAGAATGCCATGTGTAAGGACACAGCTCTGAAGATGGCGTCATATCTGTGACTGGGTTGAAAACCTTGGATAAAATCTTAAACCTTTAATATATTTTAGAATCAGGAAGTAAAGTGGTCCATTTTGTGTGTTTTGTGTCTGTTGCATCAGTTTTGGCAGAGTTTACCAATCTAATGTTGTAAAAGTGTTCTAATTCAGTTTCATGAAAACATGAAAGACACCAGGTTTCATTGGAGTTTTTTCCAAATCTCACTTTGCCTTATAGATTAGATTTATTACATACGAGTAATCTCCCAAATGTCTCGTAAGGATAAAATATGAGGCTTTCGCTTTGCCGGACAGTTTTGCTGATGTTACTATGGGTTGGGAAATTTTATTCATCTGGTTATTAACACAAGGAAAACACACACAGCTCAAACCTCAGGGCTTAAAAGAAGCAAGTGCAGCTAGCTGAAGTGGGATATCCCTCTATGACCTGCTGAAACCTCTCTCACATCTGCTTACAGTACAAAAAGTGGAAGCTCCATCTTCACACAAGACATAAATTAGATATGAATTTCAATTGTTATTCTCACTGAGGTAATCACTTCTCTCTCTGAGACTACTATAGGAAGTAATTTCCTATTTATAATATGGTGATTCCTCAATAAACATGTGACAAAAACATATTAAAAACACCTTACACAAGGTAATGTGAGACATATAGAATCCACCAGCTTTACATGCTTTCTATGGAAATGAAAAGCAGCTATGGGTCAAGTCCCTTGCTGCAGAGTGCCGGTTACTGGAGGAGGAGCTGTGGCGTATTTTCCCCTCTCCATCTTCCCTGAAACAAGCCTGCTCTGAGTCAACATCTTTGAGAACATCTTGTGAGTGAAGATTGTGCAATGAGATAAGCCCGTGCGAAGTGTGATTTTCCCATAACCCACAGCTCATTAGTTTTACATTCTGTTTGGACAGTAGTTTTATCTCGATATTTGCGGTTATTCTCAGGTTGGCTCCTCGGCGGCTGCAGTTCAACAGCCCAGGAAGTGGAAAGGCACTCAGTGTACTGACAATCTGACAAACAGGGTGTAACTACAGGAAGCCCAGTGTAAAGAAGAGGGAATAAAACATTAATACTGCATGTTACGATTGGGTCCAATGCACATCCTGCTGATTAAAAGAAACATTTGAATATCATTGAAACTGAATTGTCTAATTTGGATTAATTTAAAAGTAATTTTAAAGAACATTGCAGTGTGTTTCAATCTTTAATTTGTCAGGTATATTCGATCAATAACGCTCAACAGAAGTATTGCATTTATTTATCTATATTTAACATTTTATTTTCAGATGTGGACATATTCTGATTTGCATACTTAGATTTCGTTAAGCATTGAATTCAACCATATAAATATAGTTTAATCCATTTTCATGCAATTAGAAAAAGTTCACATATAAGACTTAAGTTTTATATAAGATATTTGTGCTTATATTTTTGCATTACTATATAAGGATACCACGTTATTTTAAGTGGATATGAAGTATCATTTTAAAGTTAACATACCATTTAAATATGATACTAAAAATGGCAAAAAAAGCCGCAAGACATGTGCTACAGTGTGATTAATGTCTTTGTGGTGTGGCAGAAGATTTGTCTCTTAGTCACTGATCCGTACTGTAAACACGTCGTTAATTACCGCACGGGCTGTTGTGCTTGTACTTTCCTTTCCTTCACAAAGTCGGTCAACTACGCTCCGCAAGGGAATCCCGGCAGCTGATTGGACGGCGCTGGTTTTATGACGTCGCGAGACTTTGGCTCATAAAGCAGCGCTGTCTGAAAACGGCACGTAGTGAGTTAGCACGTCGGAAGAATCCACAGAACGACATTATGGTGAGTTTGCTCTCCCTAAAATTGTTGTTGTTTTTGTTTTCCTGTGTGCGTGTGTGTGTGATTTGAACGTTTAAAATAAAATAAAAAACTTTTCAAGTGGCCCCCAAAACGATAGAACACTTTTCTTTTTTTTCTTTTTTTTTACGCTTAGCTGTTTTACATGGACAGTTTTAAGACGGATGCAATTCAATTTATTTTACTGAATTTATTTTACAGTGACGTTTAAGACATTTTTTTATTTATTTACTGAGGACATCTGACGTAATTGACAGACATGCAGTCAGCCAGTTGTGATTGGCGGACAGTCACAAACGTGAGGAGGTGAGATAAGCCACTCGTGGGTTTGAATCAGACTTCGTCACTTCACGCAAGTTCAGGTTTCTGTGTCTTCAGGACACCTCCACGATGTTCCAGTCACACGCAGCTCGAGTAATCAGAGATCATTTGAACTCTAGATGACTAATTACGTCCGATAACCTCCCACTGACACTAAAGAGTTTTACGTGGGTTTGTGAAAAAAAGAATGGATGACTCAATCTGTTTTGTATTTGTCATAATCCACGTTTCTAGTGTTTTCCGATGTTGTGGCTTTCTTTTTAGCATTTAGGCATTTACATTTTTGTTTAACCTGGTTTATCCTGCTTATTTGCTCGCCCCTGTTTTCATATGCCTTGCCAGCTCATTATAGTTTTTACATAAAATTAGCATAAACAAAAAAGTGACACATTTGAAATGTTTTTTTTTTGTCTGTGTTTAATTTGCATTCAATATAAGCATCTAATATTCACATTAGTAGGTGAGCCAGCAAATTGTCTTGTTAATTGTTATCATTTTTGGTCACTCTTCGTTTACTTTCCATTGATCAACTTAGATTTTTTTTCAACAAGTTTTTTATTTGAGAAGAAATGGCATAAAATGAGTGAAAAGATGTAGGGATGTTAAAGGACTCGAGGACTGTAGGTTACCATTAATTCTCAACCTTGGTTCAGGGTCTCTTTGAGCATTGGGAAATATTTTCTAAGGTTTTCTTGGTCATTATTGGAATTTGGAAACTGTTCAAATAAAGGGACATGCATTCTGGGAGGTGTTTCTACATTATAACGCATGTAATAATTTGTCATGGTTCACATAAATCTCAGTTTTGTTCATCATTCCAGGAGGTTAGAATTTTGGGTCATTATACAAAAAAGTTGGGAAGCACCTCTCTGGGCTGGCAAACGGTTTGGAACTGGTAGTTATAGTGTATGTCATCCTCTGTGTTTTTGTTTTCACAGTCACTGCACAAGAGCCCAGTGGACAGACCGCCTGAGAAGACGCATTCCATGGACATGAAGCAAAGCCACAGATTGTATCCATCACTGCCGCACACGAGCAGGTGAGATGACGTGATATCACACAGGGCTGTTTTTTTGGTGCTCAGTCACACTGGTTTTCATCATTTTCTGGTCCAATTGTATGTTTTTAGGTATGAGATATGTCTGCCCGTTGGCTCCGCTCGAGAAAAACCCCAAACAGCTGCAGAGTTTCATCCCCGCAGTGGTCTGGAAGACCCCCAGGTTGGTGATTTCAGCAGCCGCTTTTCTTTTTTTTAAATCAGTTTTCAGCCTTGTGATTCCCTGACCACAAAGAAACAACGTTGTTCTTCGTGTTTCCGCAACAGTACAAAGTAAAACTTCCAAAAATGTGTAAAAGGAAGTCAGGGGACGTGGATCCGTTGCACAACTTCCCAGCCTGTGCCTGCTTATGGATACATATGCCATATTTTAATGGTTCCTCTTTTTTTTTTCTTGTGCATGCTTCAGCCACTGGAGTTTTCTACCGGCTGTGACATCAGCATGAAAGCACAGATTCTTATCCTGGAGGAACAGAGGAGAGAGGTGAGCACATTTCAGAGACGAAATCTGTCAGCACATGTACGCATTTACATCACCAACCGCAATCACGCTCTTTCTGTTTTACTCAGCTTCTCTCCATCAATAAGAAATGGGCAAAAGAGTACAGGACCATGGCACAGTTTTACAAGGGGAAGGTAAGAAAGTCAGACTGATACTCAGGTCTCTTGGGATTGTTTAACCTAAATGTCTACTAACTTGCCTTTATTCTTCTGCAAATTCCCAGATCAGAGCGTTAAAAGCATTACAGCGCCATGATCTCTCTGAGGAGGAGACGAGCGACGAAGAGAAGCTGGTCGCGTTATGTGACCAGCTTAAATTGAAGACTGACACTTTGGTAAGCGCTGAACACATTTCCCACATTTTTCTGTGAACGTTTCTAGTTTTGATTTCTCAATTCGCTCTATATTCTTTTTCGCAGACCGGAGAAGTTGAGGTCGGCTCCAAGCTGCTGACGGCCGAGAACGAAGCCAGAGAGCTGCGGCTGGAGAACGGCACTCTGACCCGCCGGGGGCAGCACCAGCGCGAGGAGATCCAGCGGCTCAACAAGGTGAGGCAAACGCACGCCTGGCTTTAAAGCGGACACTCCTGCGTTAGAGGGTCCTGACGGAAACCATCACGTGTCCCCCGCAGGCTCTGGAGGAGGCGCTTCAGACGCCTCAGCTTCTCGGGGGGAGCAGTGAAACGCAAATCAACATCTGGAAACATCAGGTGAGTTTTCAGAAGCACCGGTTTGACATTTTGGGGGGGTTTCCAAAAAGAACCCCCCCAAAATGTTTTAGGTTGTTAAAAAAGAGCTGTGTATGAAACCAACACAAGAGATGGTGAGTCATATTTAGAGTTTCGATTATGTCAAAGACATTGACGGTACAACGTGAACAGCATAAGTTCAACCATTACTCTAAAGACAGCTGGACTTTTCTGAAATATATGAATACAAATGTTTTAAACAATTCATGAATTATATACCTGCATTAAAAAAAGTAATGGCCAACCCCTTGTCTTCACGTTACCTCTTTTTGTTGTTCGCGTTTAGGCCGAAGTCTACAAGGAAGACTTTCTGACAGAGCGCAAAGACCGGGAAAAGTTGAAAGACAAATATCTGGAGCTGGAGAAAAGGTTCAGAAAGGTGCACAATGAGCTGCGTGCCATCAAATCTCAGGTAGGTTTAGAGGTGCGTGGTGCTTACCTTTTCCCACATTTGGCCGGGCAGACTCTAACAGGGCGGGGGGGTGTTATTTTCAGGTGACACGAGACCTACCAGAGCAGCGATGCTCCTGCACAAGTCGCGGCAAATGTCCAAACTGGGAAGCGTGCTCTGTCAGACAGCAGCATCCCCAAAGACGCAGCAGCCCGGACAGCAAACGGTGAAAACCCAGCGTTTGACGACAGCACTTTAGCACTTTATTGGAAATCGTGAGTCTGGAAGGAATCTCCGCGGCAGCCTCGGGTCTGCGAGGAGACGTGAATTACTGCACTGCCAAAACACTAGACGTTGACTGCCTTCACACAAACTGCGAACGGACAGGAGCTCCCCCTGTTATCAGTGCCTAAAACGACAACAATTCTTCAACAAAAAGGAGGACTAAAGCATGGCCGTCATGCTTTGCTTTGATAATCCACGAAAAAGAGAACTCCAGCCATCCTGTGACGAGGGCTAAAAAGATTCTGACTTGTTATACACTATTTATCCTTTGTGGCTTTGTGCCGCTCTCATAACAGGAAGAATGACGGCGCCCGGAGCCTCTGAGAGAGAATCCTATATGCTCCCTGTCCTTTTGTTGCAGGTGTTCATTATCAATTCGTTCACACCTGAAGGCTGTGAAGACAGGAGATGTATGTTGTAGGAGAAGAAAGCAAATATGGGATTTTTTTCAGTATTTATGTTGATTTAAAGGAATGTATGTCATCTAATTATCTTGGTCTCCTGATTATTTATAATAAAAATAAATCAATGAACGCCATGTGCGGTATTGTATGGTTGTACAGCTTCAAAAACACTATGTAAACAAGCAGTAAGCATCTGATAGAAGAGACATCTTCACTAGTCCAGCACACAGAACAAAGAGAACTGTGGATTTTGAGAGTAATCTCAAAATCTCAATCTATGAAGGCTCCATTAAATGCTCCGTGTCCAAAAAAACTTTGGAGCCCAGAACGCATTTCTATTTCTGGACAGAGGCTCACTTTAACTGAGGACAGTTTGTTGGATAAAAAGGCAGAAATATGCAAACACAAACATAAACATGCTCCCATTCTGGAAAATAAAACAGCTTTAATACTTGGCAGACAGGGGGAAAGGCTGTGAGCCCTTTAGAACACATCCATACAACACAACATTACACAATTAAATAACAACTTAGTTTCTTTGCTGCATTATTGATTTCTAAAGTTCATATAATGTAACTTTCTTGCTCTGTTCGATGGCTATCTGTTATATGATCCAGTCTGATACGCGGACTAAGGCTACATGCTAGCATCCAGGTGTTTTTCAGGAAGACTTTGCTCGATTTAGCAAAACGTTGTCTGCACACATTAGGTTTCGTTGCAAAATGGCTTGAATCTAAGCCTTCTTGGTCTTAAGGCCAGACATTGCATTCATTGAAATCATTTGGCACAATAACAACAGAGGCTCCGGGCTGTAAGGCAGCTGAAAACGTTCCATGTTTTCTACACATTCTGTCGAAAATGAAATATAAAGCTTCAGTGAGCTGCAAATCATTGCAGTTTAGAATTTTACAGCCAACATGTTTGGAAACCTCGTTGTGTAAATCAACCATAGGAATTTCTACATAGTCCCATTCACCTTATGACCCCTAACGACGTAGATCTTTTAACAGGTTTATTGGCACAGTTATAGTAGCGATGTGTTCCTGTTTTTTTTCTTCCAACATTGACGTTGCATATAGATTCAGATGTGACCGTGATCCTCTAAGAGAATAATAGCCCGATACAAACCCAGGCTAAAGGGAAACGTGACACTGTGCTCAGCAGAAGTGATTGTCTGTATAAACGGCATAAAGTGCATCTGCACACAACACAAAGAAAGTGAAACCGAGTCGCCACATCTGCCCTCGCTGCTGCCCTGTCGCTACATTGTCAGTGATTTGGTCGGCTACTAGCTGTTTACAACCAGCTGGAGTAATGCGGGATAGCAATTCTGGTTTAAGCCCTAAAGGTGACGATTATCCTCAAATAAAATATCTATGGGAAAGCTTTAAAAAGCTAACACATCTGTACCCAGTGCTAAGTGTTGTGCCATGTTGTTACAATGCTAATGATGCTGCTGGAGGAGGGAAATGTTGGACTTCTCTGCCTTTTTACAGATAAATACGTTAAATACATTCTGTATTTTCAAAGGACAAGATTTACAGCCGACCGGGCGGATGCGAAAGGGGATCGATTCTGGCCAGTATTGCACACTGGTTTTTCCGACCAACTATCGCATTGCGACGTCCGCTCGTCAGAGGACCGGTCTCTCCGGCGACTCGGCGGTCAGTAGAAGGCCGGGTTGGTGTGTTCGATGACGCAGCGCCGGCAGTGGCGCCGGACGAAGCGCAGGGCCTCCGGCGACACCTCGCAGTCCTGCACGTTGAGCAGCTGCAGCTCGCAGCAGTTGGCGGCCAGAGCCTTGAGCCCCCGGCCCGTCACGCTCTCGCAGGCCCTCAGGCTGACCCGCCGCAGGCCCTGGCAGTACATGGCCAGCTGCTCCAGCCCGCCGTCCGACACCAGCGGGCACTTGCCCACGTCCAGGGACTTGAGCTTGGGGCAGCTGCGGGCCAGGTGGCCGAGGCCGTGGTCGGTCAGCCCCTCGCAGCCCCGCGCGTTCAGGTAGCGCAGTCTCGGGCAGTAGCGGGCCACGTAGCGCATGCCCACGTCCGTGATGCGCGCGCAGTGGGCCACGCTCAGGTAGCGCAGGCAGCCCTCCAGGCGGGCCACCTCGCGCAGGCCGAAGTCCCCCACCAGGCGGCAGTCGCTCAGGCTCAGCTCCCGGATGGACGGGCAGTGGAGGGCCAGGTGGCGCAGGGCCTCGTCGGTCAGCCGGGCGCAGCGGCGCAGGTAGAGGTGCGTGAGGCGCGGGCAGTGGGAGGCGATAGTCCGCAAGCCCTCGTCCTCCAGGGAGAAGCAGTCGGTCATGTCCAGGTAGTGGATGGAGATCTGCTGGCCGTGCAGGGGGGACAGCTGGAGCGAGGCCTCCTGGGTCAGGCTGATGCACGTCACCTTGGAGCAGCCTGGAGGGGGAAAAAAAAATGGAGGAATGAAATCATCCTGACACATTGAAAATAAATCTAGTTGAGCAAAATATAGATAAATAACACAATCTGCCAGTATAAATCTAACAGCTGTTCTTTCTCTATCTAAAGAAAATAACTTTTAATAGCTATGCAACATGGCAGTGTAAGTATTATAGTTTTGAAATGTTCGATGTCTTAAGTATCAGAGGACTTTTTGCTATGGAACATAATCCATACAGCACTCTGACCACTGATCATGTGGGAACATTCAACATGAGTTTTTATCCAAAATCGAGCGGCCATCATTTATATCACACTTCCTGTCTGACATCAGATGACAGTTACTATCTGTGGGTATTGCGTTTCGTCATTAAAGAAAACAAGTTCTCACAAAGACTGACATTTATATTCTTTTTGCGTCTTAGAGGGGCCTCATAAAGCAAACCTCGGGGCAAGAAACCATACTTTGGTCCTCGGTGTATTCACGAACACCGGTCACATTCATTGAAGCACTATTAGAAAAATAAAGGGGGAAATAAAAAGGACCACAATCTTTGAAGAAACCCACTCGATACACCACATATTAAATTGAACTTAAGTTTGGGGGCTATTTTTGAACCGAATGAGCACTCCAGATTTGGTCTCAGGTCACTTACATAAGAAGCGTATCTCTTCCTGCCAAAGACAGCGGATCATTACTGTAACCGATTTTCTGTGTGTGCGTGTGTGTGTTTGTCAGATTAAGTCAAGTGATTTGCCACTTGAGGGCGCAAAAGTGAAACTTGCCGACTAAAGCAGAGTTTAGCAACTGTGGCCAGCTGGTAGAGCCAAGAAAAAAAGCCCCTTTTCCCTCGTATTTAAATCTAGACATCATTTAATCTATCGCAATGTCTTTTTCTACAACAAGGAGCTTGTTTCCCGGTGCTAATGGAGCGGGCACTGCTTTGCAGTCCGGACCGAGTCGCTGTTATTTGTTACTTAATGAAAGCAGCAGACTGAGGTAAAGAAAAAGCCTTACGTCTCCCATATGGGAACTCAGGGGTTGGCAGAGCTTCTCCTGCTCCTCTAATGATTCTACCAGCTTTACAAGAAACAACCGAAAAAGCACTGAGAGGAGGAATTCCTTTGAGGTAAATCCACACACATGCGTGATGCAAATGAACAAGCCTCTCCTTAATGAAACTGAGGCCTGAGGTCTGAGGCTTGGGGTCAACATAAAGGTGGCTAATTTTGCTAATTTTGCTCATTTTGAGATCGGGGCCGCGCATTTTTCTCTTTACCTGAGAGGTTCAGGTGCTCTAGGTTGGGGCAGCGGGACACTACCTCAAACACGGCCTCGTTTGAGATGTTGTAGCAGCCGGCCACCTCCAGGCGCCGCAGCTCGGGGCAGCACTGGGCCACCACGCGCAGGCCCCGGTCGGTCAGCCGCTTGCAGCCGCTGGCCACCACCGTCTCCAGGGTCAGGCACACGTTGGGCGTGTCCTGGCACAGGCGGTGGGTCAGCACGCGCACGGCCCGGTCGGCGTGCAGCAGCTCGCCGGTCAGCCGGACGCTGGCCCACAGCCGCGGGTCCCAGGCCAGGTTGTACCAGCGGCGGCAGACCCGGGCGCAGCGGCACAGCTGGTTGGTGGGCAGGTGGGAGAAGACCTGCAGGAGGGCGGCGTCCGGCAGCAGGTCGACGGCGGCGGCGTGGTGGTGGTGGTGGTGGTGGTGGGCCTTGGACAGCCGGGAGCGGGCGTGGCCGGAGGGCTGCGGGTGGATGACCGCCACCGTCTCGGTGGGGGCGGAGGACGAGGTGGAGGAGTGGGTCTCATGGCCGTTGCTGGACAGGGCGGGGGAGGAGAGAGAGGAGGACTTGGACGGGAGGATTAGGCCCGGGCTGGGGGTGCTCAGCGTCCTGGTGCTGGTCTCTAAACCTGAACACAAAAATGAAAAGACAGAAGAGGACTTTTTACGCAACTTTAAGGTTTAATAAAGACAGCGATCCTGAATATCCTGTCTAGAAATCCAGTCTGTCGTCCAAAAAACCGGCATGTGGTCACCATCTGCTCTAATGTGGTCTGTATGCAGAAAAAAAACACAAGCAGATCTACGCACACTCAAAGTCTGAGAAGTAATTACTGCTCTGCTTGTTGTTTTGTTTTGTTTGATGGAGAGAAAAATATATATAAATCAGGTTTCACAAGTCTGGAAGTGGCTTTTAAGCAATGTGAAGTATTAATGAGTCCAATGTTCTCTGAATATGTGATCCACAAACCTAAAACGGGCCTGTGGAGGTTTAGCTATTGAAAAGGTGACCGGTAGTTGTAGATTCTGGTCCGGAATTAATGTTTCTAAACACCAAGAAACCTGCGAAAAAAGAAGACTGAATATATGTCCGGCAGGGAATCAATGCGTGTTCCACAAAGCGTTTGCTTTAATTTGGTTTTCTATCTTTCACCAGGATGACTCCTAACACATTAAAGTAACAAAAAAATAAAAAAGCAGGACTGACTGGCTGAGAATGGTTAACGTGATCAACCTAACCAGAATGAGAACATGGAAGAAGACAACTGGGGTAAACAGAAGAAACAGGACATGAAATCAAAAAAAAAAATACAGCCCAAAAAGTTTTCTTTAACTTTTATTTACCAGAACAGAATAATTAAAGCAGATTCATAAAGTTTTGATACCCATCTGTGGGAGTACACCTTTAAAAACAGTGTACAAATACTGTGTTGTTCCGCTCAAATCCTCTCATTCCAGCTATCGTCGCTGTGCTGGAAAATTGGGAAAAAGGAATTTTAAAAAGGCAGAGGAGCTGGGTTCACAACGATGACACACCAGCCACTATCAGGAGGAGTTTCCATGTATATTCTTATCCTGTTTTGTGAGGTTTGGGGAAAAAAACAACTGAAAAAACGTCCCGCTAATCTGCCAGGCGTCGGGGCGGCCGTCACCATCAGATGAACTGCGAGGCTTCAAAGCTTCAAGCTCAGAGTAAACGATGATGCCCTCCTGACAGATGTGCGTGTCCACGCAGCTGTGAGAAGCGGTGGCTGGACCGGACCGATAGTCATCAGCGAGGGGCGTTTTAAGAAAATGATGAGCGTGATGCTACTTCCAGCTGTTCTGCGATCCCTTCGCGGGCTTTTTCTGGCAAAGAAAGCCGTGATTAATCTTGTTGTCGTATGAGATAGTCAAAGTTATGACATGATGAGAGCAGGGCAGAATGGATCCCCTCCCGTGAGTCGTCTGCTCTAAAGATAACACAGAGTGTCAACTGGAAAGTCTACTACGCCGAAGTCAAACATGTCCTAACATCAGTGTCTGGGACCACTTCGCCAAAAAAAGGCATCGACATCAGTATGGAAATGGAGACAAAATGCAGAAAAAGCACCTGATCGGTAGTTCTTAAAGAAACGAGTCTTCCTGTTTGGACCTTCTCTGCTTTCCGAATGCTTTCTTGTTCCTTTTCAGGCAAAGGGAGCAGTGCTGAAAGTTGTTGCTTTTAGTGTGATTTCTGAGTCTAACATTGTTGTGTTTGCTTAGATCTGTATATAAAAATATAAAAAAAACTCAAATTATATTTTCAAAAGCAGGACGTTGAAGAATAAAGACTATTTCTAAGAAGTTCATTGTACAAATGAGTGTTTTTTTTCTTAGCTGTGGGTACACAGATTATTCAGAATCCTACAACTCCTGAAAAGACTAATAGTTGTTGGATTTACCCGTTTTAATCCCATGACAGTAATAAAAACAGGGGTGTTCAGGATTTCAGTCGTGCTCGATTGTGTTTCTGAACTAAGCTCTGTGTGTTCAGGGGTTGAAGATTTTATCAAACCATCGATGACAGAATATTTGAAGGTTTCTCAGTCTACTTAAAAACAGATTTTAGCTTTAAGTTGCTGTTTTTGTTCTTGCAGTAACAGGAGAACCAACAGGAGTTTTGGCTGCTGTCGTGATTCGCATGTTTCCCCTCAGATGTTGCTTCTGTGTGGACGTCTGTACGCCAACAGTCAGCTGTTCCTAGACAGGAAGTCAGTATCTAGGACAAATGGCCGGCATCCTGTCTGTCATGTGGATTTGTGCGCTGTAGCGGCGGACGGCCGCAGATCTTTATTCCAGACCTGCGTCTCAGTGCGCCTCCCAGCTCGCCGCTGATGACATCCGCAGAGCCGTCCTCCCGGGAGCATGTCAACTGATTCACGGCTACTTTAAAACGGCCTCGCGTGTGTCCTAAAAGCTCGCAGTCGCATCCAAATCCAGGTAACGTGCACGGCAACCTCGGCGAGAGAAAAACTGTGAAAATAAGCGTACGTTTGGGTCCGACTGTAGGAGGGAGCTGAGGTTTAGTGGTGGTACTAGGCTCACCTTTGGGTTTACTGATGCACATTCCTGCTGGTGGTCATTCTATAATTAGTTTCCCCTGGGGTCATCCAGCTTATGTTGGCAAATAAGTGTTTTTGTAGCCATAAATAATCAAAAATTCAGTTGAAGCTTCTTTGTTGCCTCTAAAATGCAGTGAGCAAAGTTAGACATCTGGCATTATTTTTGGCCAAATCTCACTCAAAAATACAAAATATCTAATGTTAGAACACGCTTATCTCAAGATAACTTAGAAATGATTCATTCATCTTCACATTCATGCATCCATATCAACCAGGTTTGATCTCACATTGATTAACACCTGTGGATGTTTGTGCTTATGTGGACCTATATTGCATTTTTGAGATGTAAGGTACTGGCTTTGATCAGTCCACTGGGTTTACATAAATTGTGTCTACATAAATAAAACCAAAATTGCCCAAAATGCCTTAATAGTTAGAAATCGTGCTCCCCTGCCTTTGTGCTATAACCTCATGTTGTGCATGTGTGTCTGATGCTAAACTGCAGGTCTTGGGTATGTTTTTGTGCGTCCGAAGTCAATTAAAAGGTATCCGAAACTAAATGTAGCCAATTAAGAAAAAGCCTCCACAGGTCTTAGACAACATCCAGAGGTAGATCGCATTTTCCATAGAGCTGCGAGCAGGAATTCGACAATTTTTCGTCAGCGGTTTGATGTATGAGTCTGCAAAGAGTCTGCCACTGGCCTCGGAGCAACTTCCACTTTGCGTGATGACACGTGCGACTGATCAGGGGAGTGTTCTGAGCCTTTGGAGATGTGCAGAGCCACTAATCAGACTACAGCCCCCCCCTTCTCTCTCAGATCCACTTTCTCACAGCCGGTGGGAAAAGTGAAGCGAAGTCAGCCTTGGGCTGCAGGCGGCTGAGGATAGCTCGCATATGGATTGCTTTAAGGAGGTTTATATGTAATCAGTCCCTGTGTTTATTTTGACAGTACACATTGAAATAAACTCATGCCGTAAATTTTCCCTTGTTTTCTTTAGCATCTGTGTCTCTTAAAGTGCAAAAACAATGAATTTGGGTAACATTTTTTACCTAATTCAAACAAAAAAAGACTCAAATTCTCTGTATTATCAGATTATGTGAAATTCTCAGTTATATCAACTTCTGTTTTAGGTCACTTTAAGCTGAGGATTTTAGAGTTTGCCAAAAATAATTTCCACACAACTTCCAGAAAACAAATGAGTAAGTCCTGACCTTTAAACAGACCCACAAACGAGAGTCGATTTGGAATTCTTTCCAATCGCAAAAGCAAAAAATAACACGGATGTGACAGTCGCTGGGGTTTGATCTAAACATGACCGTCTCCATGACGACAAGTCCCCCACTGCTATCTCGTAAAGCAAATAACCTTAAAGGAGCCGTGAAACACCAAACTTTAGGAAACAGAGAACAAACGTTCCCATCACTTCCAGTTGCTGCAAAAATGTTTATAAGTTAACCAAGAGTGTCGTGTTTTATGTCTCGGCGTTACTGCGAACCTATCATTAACAGAACAAATGCCACGCAGCTGTTAAAATCCTCTTGAAGGCGATGCGAGTGCAGCTGGTGGACGACTCAGTTTGGTGTAGGGAAATCAGAGGAGAACAGTGGAACATCTGGTCCGTACCCTGGACAAAGAACAACCGAGCAGCGGTTGAGTGAAAGAGAAATCTCATGCCTCTTGAATGCACATATAGCCACAGCAAGGCATACTTGGCTGAAATGGTTGGCCCACTAATGCTGGATCTGCGCTGATCCGCCGCGGTGCTGCAGCAGGATCTCATTAACATCAGCTCAGCTTTTACTTCTGAGGCACATCTGGATGGCGCTTTCATACCAGAGCTTTAATGTAAATCAATCAGAGTGATCAATGAAAAGACAAAAAAAAAAAAAAAAACTCCGATGCTCACACGATGAAAAAAAAACCTGATGAACTTTTTAAAAAAAACAGCTATGAGGTATTTATTTGAGCGAGAGAAAGCTAAAGAGGGAAGATAAATTGGCAAAAGGGCCTGCAGACTTTACCAGAGACGGAGACAAGTGCACAGGCAGGGTCAGTCCAGACTTTGACGCAGTCTGGTCATAAACCAAAGCCGTAGGGATTCGGCTCGGGATCTCGCAGTGCCGTGAAGCTCTGCTAAGACCCCGTCTGGAGCTGGCGGGATTATTACCGCTGCATCTGGCAGAATAGAGCAATCCATTACCTCAATGCCATTAGCCCTGTGACATGTCCCCGCTCTGCCAAGAGTGAGAGGGAACCAGGGACACTTATGTCCCACTCATGAGAAAGGGAAATAAAAATCCCAATCTGCAAAAAAAAAGGAAGCCAGGTGTAAACAGAAAAGTGTCAGCAGGGATCCAGCTAAACTAAACCAAAAACCTTTTCTTTTTTTATCACTCTTTAGTTTTTTTAAGGGGAAACGTCCGACTCAGACGGAGAGCTGTCGGGGTTGAAAACATCTGGGTCCGTCTCAGGTTTTATTGAATACGTGGAAGTGGATATTAACCGGACGGCGTGGCGGCTCGGCTATCAGCAAAGCCTTCACTACAGGAAAGTC